TGTGAAGAGCCTATTGAAGTAGCAGAGCCAAATGGCATCACAAAATGTCATGAAAAGATAAAACAACCAGTACCAGACCAAAGCTTTTTTGTATCCTCAAAACCATCTGAGGACATGACACATCAAATTTCATCAACTAGAGGTGCAGCAAATAAGCAGAGCGGGATATCAGAGGAAGAAGTCATTTTATCACAAGATTCCTTCGACTCTTCCACAACTCAAACTGTTGACGAAATTAGGTCAAGCTCAGGATCAAACTCAGAAGCAGACGATGTAACAACTGGCTTTGAAACCAGCAAACAGTCTGACCCACCAGTAAATCTCATACAGGAAAAAGACCATTCTTGTCATGATAACTGGAGCACATTAATAGATGAGCCAAAAGCAAGCATACACCATCTACCAAAAGAACCTGAGTGTAGCATGCAACTTCCTAGAATGAACGGTGTTGACCTGAATAGTTCATCCAGCTTTATTCCAGCCAACTCCCTTCAGCAGGAATCATTTGTTTCATCCGGTCAGTATCAAATGAGTGCAACACCAGGTCCACAAAAGGCTGGTTTGCTGCATTTTGGAGTGCTAGGAAAAGAAAGCACATCTTCCTTGCCCTCATCTAATTCCGAAATCACTGAAGCATGCCATACAAGTAATGTAACTTGTTCAGAAAATGAAACACCAAAGTTCGCAGGATCATCACAAGGCCAATACAATCTACCAAGCAGCCATCCTGTTCATCAAGAAAACTTTCAGCCAGAACCTCCTGTTTGCTCTAGTCAGATTTTGAACACCAATCATCCACAGGTCGGAGAATTCTTCAAGGAGACAACAAGACATGGTGAAACACTGGCGAAAGGTAAAAATGGTGCCCAAAAACAAGACACCCCTATGTTTGAAGGAATACCTTCTTTGGTGGATAAGCAGATTTGCTTTGAGAATACAGTCCCTGAAGCAAAGGCAAAGGAGCAAAACCACTCTTCTCATGAACCACCAAGTGGGGCAGGCACAAATATGTCTAAGGCACAAAAGCGAAAAGCTGAGGATGAAAGAAATAGAGCCTTTGACTGGGATAGCTTGAGAAAAGAGGCACTGTCCAATGGTGAAAAGGGAGAGAGAAGCAAAGACGCAACAGACTCGCTTGATTATGAAGCACTGAGACGTGCCCATGTCAGCGAGATTTCTGATGCTATCAGGGAACGTGGAATGAATAACCTGCTAGCTGATAGGATTAAGGTATTACAAATACATAACCTTGTGTATTAGTAGTTAGTATCATAGTTATAGATTTCAATATGGTTACTGCTTAATGTAGGATTTCCTTAACCGCCTGGTGAGAGATCATGGGAAGATCGACCTGGAATGGTTGAGAGATGCACCCCCTGACAAAGCAAAGTAAGCCCTCAAGGCAATTTCTTAGATTCAAGAAATGCACTCATAAAATGTCTTCTAAGTTCCTTCTAATCTTTTCTATTGAAGGGATTACTTGCTGAGTGTTAGAGGATTGGGGCTGAAAAGTGTGGAATGTGTGCGCCTATTGACACTTCATCATCTTGCTTTTCCGGTAAGTCAATTTTAAAAGTATTATTTGTTACAAATTTGACATACCAAAGCAGTTTTACATTCCTGATATCTTTTTCCAGGTTGACACAAATGTTGGGAGGATAGCAGTGAGGCTAGGCTGGGTCCCTCTCCAACCGCTACCAGAGTCACTCCAACTGCATCTACTGGAGATGTAAGTATATAAAAGTTCTTCTTCATACGTATATTATTCAAGTTATGAAAAGGATGCTGATTAACTTTGCATACAGGTATCCAGTGCTGGAGTCCATTCAAAAGTATCTTTGGCCCAGGCTGTGCAAGTTGGATCAGTTGACATTGTAACTAACACTTATCCCAAGAACTATACATAAGCAACCCACAATATAAAAAGATGGAAAAACAAGAACTATTCTTGTATTGTTATTCAATGCAAGTGTTTCTGAAAATTTAAAAATGCTCGATTTACTGACTAATATGTGGTTCTTTGACAGATATGAGCTACACTACCAAATGATTACATTTGGAAAGGTATGTCACTCTTTACTACTGGATTCCTAGAGTAGTTGGTTTAAAACGAGAGTAGGATTTACTGATGATTACATAAAAAAATATATGTAGGTTTTCTGCACAAAGAGTAAACCAAACTGTAATGCATGTCCAATGAGAGCAGAGTGCAGACACTTTGCCAGTGCATTTGCAAGGTATGATAATCAAACTCTTTTTTCAGCTTTCTTTAATGGAACCAGTGTCTTGTGTATGTGATTTTGTTTAGCAAAATATGAAGAAATAGGTGATAATCACATAAACCAATAATATAAAAATATTCATGTTGGTTTTAATATTTAAAAATACGAAGTTGAACATCAATTTTTTTAATTAAAGATGTTTTTTATCTTTTTTTAATTTGCAAACAGAGGGAGTGACAAGCATGAGCATAATTACATGTTCTAATACAAATATCGTCCTCCAAGGACCAGAAGGGCTTTTTCAAGATCATTTGATCTTCATATTGAAGCAACATAGTAACAATCATTAAACATTCCACTAACGGTCCAAGAAAAAAAAATCAACTAGACCATGTTGCCTTTTCCAATAAGTTGTTGCTGAGAAGAGGGAATCATCATGAATTTCTAACCACTGTATATTTATAAATTCAAGCATACACTACACAATCCACTCACACAAGAACATAGCAATACCATTGAACTAGTTGATCAATGGTACTTGCCTTAGAGGGTGAAAGGCATGTTACCTAAAGAAAACCCACAGGACTTCAGGAGCTGAACTAGAGCCTGAAAAACAATAAATTGATTGGTAATCTGATGATGATAGGAAATGTTGTTCAAAAAGCTTTCAATCTATCTAGAAGAGTATGCAATTGCATTAATAAAATAATAATCTAACTGACATTTATATGGTGCAGTGCAAGGCTTGCCCTCCCAGGTCCAGAGGAGAAACGAATAGTGACTTCAGATGCTCCTGTTGCAACAGATCCAATACCACCTATGGTTATCAGGCCCATGCCACTACCTCAAGCTGAAAATGGTTTTGATAAAAGTGAGAGATCTTTTGGGAGGAATTGTGAACCAATCATTGAGGAACCAACTACGCCTGAGCCAGAAGCTGCAGAACTATCAATAAGTGACATCGAGGATCAATACTATGAAGATTCTGATGAAATCCCAAGCATCAAACTCAACATGGAAGAATTCACAACCAATTTGCAAAACATAATGCAAGATAGCATGGAACTTCAAGATGATATGTCCAAAGCACTAGTTGCATTGAATCCTAATGCTGCTTCCATACCAACACCAAAACTGAAGGACGTTAGCCGGCTGAGGACAGAGCATCAAGTGTAAGACGCAGGAGGGTCTGAAATATTACCTCTTTATCATATGTTCTTCAGCTTTTAATTTACCTCTCATCCTGTTGCAGGTATGAACTTCCGGATTCACATCGGCTTTTGGAAGGGGTTAGTAATTTTGTTGCTGACAAGTCCTTTGGCACATGCCTATACATAACCAACTAACTTCTACATTCTCCTATTTTCAGTTGGACAAAAGAGAGCCTGACGACCCAAGCCCCTATCTCCTGGCAATATGGACACCAGGTTGGCAGATAAGCTTTTGCCACCTATACAAAAATTGTCAGTATGCATTAATCATGAAGAGAGGGACAAGTGAGGCAGCAACTACTAGAGTTACTCCTTTGTGACAGGAAAGTCATGCCTCATGAGTCAAGTTACAGAGCATGCAAGTCTTCCTTCCCAACCCTCAAGCCGAGCAGCATACATGCATTGAGCCACCTTTTTATACACTAGTAATCTAAGAGCAGACCTTAACCAACACCTTTGCTAGTTCATATATCATGAAGATAGATTTTAAAACAATGTAGGACTAATTCCCAAAGAAACAGATTGACAAGTGTTATATGTAAATTACAACCCCTCCCCTCCCCCCAACAAATTGCACACTCACTTCCAGGAAAATATGCTTCTCATATTCTGCACAACATAACACTAATGTGAAGCTCTCATATCAGGTGAAACTGCAAATTCAGTACAGCCTCCTGAAAGAGAATGTTCAGCCCAACAATCCGGCAAGTTGTGTGACCGGACAACATGCTTTTCATGCAACAACATAAAGGAAGCAAATTCACAAGTGGTCAGAGGAACTATTTTGGTGAGAAACCTCAACTCTACAATACAGGATACATACTGCAACTATCATGAAAAACAAGTTATACCAGCTAAATTTTAACCTGCTTCCGTAACAGATACCATGTAGAACAGCAATGCGAGGGAGCTTTCCGCTCAATGGCACATATTTCCAAGTTAATGAGGTGTGTAACTGAAATTCCAAAATACATTTTTTCCTCAATCTTCAAATGCTACCTATATGGAAAGAGGCCTTCGAAAAAAACACCCCAGCTTTTTTCCTTGCTTTATTTAAACCTTATTAAACTTATTACAAACCATCTCTTACCTCCCATGACCACTTATTCACTTGCAAAATGGTCCAGTTCAAACAGTCCTTGTACAAAATGCAATATATGATTCAACTCGACGGAAGCTTATTCTTGGCTTTCAGACTCATAATTCCAGATCAATATTTATTTAGTAGCATTTCATCCATATATGTGTACCATGCAGATGTTTGCGGATCATGCATCAAGCATGAACCCAATTGATGTTCCAAGGACGTGGATTTGGAACTTGCCGAGACGAACAGTGTACTTTGGGACTTCTGTCTCAACAATCTTCAAGGGTACAAGCTCATGGACCTTATATTGCATTCTTCTAAAGTTTACATGTGTACTTAACAATAAAAACTGGTTTTTCTAGGACTAACTACTGGGGGAATTCAATATTGCTTTTGGAAAGGTATGTATCACTTCAATTCTCAAACAGAACTAGTAAGTGAGCATCATCATGAACAATTTGAATGTTTGGACAATGTGCATCATAAAAGAGGTATTATAACTTCATTACATGCATACACATCAGCACATGTGGAACAGGGTAAGTATCATTGGTAGAACCAAGAAATATGATATTGTTCATTAAGGTTCCCACTTCCCACGTTGATAAACATCTGACACGCTACCATAAGTCACTAAGTTTCTATGGTATGTAACCATATCTTCAGAGAAAGAAATCCTAAGAACGGCATGGAAGTTATGGAATAACTGTACAAAATCAAATACAGTCATAAAAATTATGGGAAGGCATAAAAATTATGGGAAGGCATAAAAATTATGTGAATAATCAACTTAAAAAAATAATGCTGCATAACTAAACAACAGCGACTGAATTCAAGATCATGCATGCAAGCTTCTAAATAACCAAACAAGAGCAGAAACGAAAATAACCAAACAAGATTAAAAAAATCAAGAAATGCTTAACTTCAAATACATTCATGCATTAGTTTGAGTATCACAATTATTTTGGCAAGAACCTAATTGCAATAGTTGAGATTATTACCAAAACCTTTGCTTCTAAGTTCTAAAAACTATATACCTGTGAAATGTCCTACACTAATTAAATTTATAATGGTATGTGGTGGAACATTTGCAGGATTTGTTTGTGTGAGAGGATTTGATCGGAAAACTAGGGCTCCTAGACCTCTGATGGCTAGATTACACTTCCCAGCAAGTAAGGTGATCCAAGACAAAAAACAAAGGCAAATAAATGAGCTAAAACAAATATAAAGCTCCATGTTAAAGAACTGTCGTAGGGAAAAGAGCTCAGAAACTAACCAATCGTTGTACATTCAACGGTCATGTCCATGCTTTAACACAGTCGCAGTGACATATGTAACTTAGCAGAGAGAAGTTGATGCAAGATTGCCATTATCATTATTTCATTTCCCTATGCTCAAAAAAGGAGCCATTCTTTTACCAGTTAGTGCATCTTACAGAAGAAATATGTTAGTTGAGCAGTAGGTTCTTTTTTTGCTTTCAGATACATGTATGTATTTTCAAACAGCTTTCAAATAATACAATTTATCGGGAGCCATTGTCTTGTGCAAGTGATATCTCAATGCATTTGGCTTTCGTGTATGACCATACTTTATCGTATCTCTGTCCAACATCTTTTACGGTCATCCCAAGATGAATATCATTTTGTGTTACTAATTCTGCTGAGATTTATAGATCCTCACACTAAAAAGATATCAACTTATAATTTCTCCATCACCATTGCTAAGTAATCTGCAGTGAATACTCAGGTATCATGATTAACCCATAAATGTTAAAAGTTGTTAAATTGTTATTGAGCTAATTGACAAAAGTGATTCTATCATCCTACTACATCGACTAACATAAATCCATAGCAATAGTTTATAGGCATTTCGTTTTGTGGATCAAATGAGTTATGTTTTCGTTGTAGATTTGAAAAACATTGTTTTGATTCAAGTAAAAGAAAACGCAAGCACTCCATTGTATAACTAATTAGAATATTGGAGTTACAAAACAAAGGAAGTACGGATCGATTCTAAAAATTAGAAGATCGATTTTCAAACAAGAAATACAACATATGGCAAATCCAATATCTCCATAGATATTTGCAAATCAAAACAAATCAAAGCTAAATATAACGTTAAGTAGTAATCAGCCATGGATAACACAAACGTTATTGCTATTCATAAGAAATCAAAAAACATCATACATCGCATATAAACTTCATGTACTTATGAAATAACTTTTTTAATATAAATCTTACCTGATTGATCAGAGAATGAATGAATCCGAACCCTAAACCCTAAAATCTCCCAGTTCTTGCACGACGATTCGTGTTCCTCTGTGCATCTACAAAAAAAAATCATAGAAACTCAAAAGAACAAACGAAATCTGGATTCAAAAAAATCGTACATGTCAGCGAATGAAGGTCCGAAAAAGTAGTCTCTCTCCTTGGCGCTTATATATTTGCATTTTTGGCGGCCCTCTTTTAGTTTTCCCTCCTCTTTCGGGAGACATTACACATTCATATTCTTCTGGAGCCTTCACTGTCCTAAAAAATTGACGCTTTATTTTTTATGTTGAATGAATTTTATTTTTTTGCCTACAAATTTCTTTCATATATACCAAAGTCACACAATTTAAGCTCACCGGTGGACAACCCAAGATTAAATCCGAGACTTGTCTTTTATTTATGTAAAGTTGTCATGCCTCTTTTATTTATGCCCTTTTGATTTTGTAACCGATATATTGTATCCATATTAGCTTCTGCAATGTATAGTAAAAATTATCTTTTCTCCAGTTTTCTGTATTTTATACCCAATTTGTATCCATGATAGAGGCGAAAATGGGTTGAGTTGGTCAGTTTGAAGTTATATCAACAACTCAACCTAATATCTACGGTTTGAAGAATCTCAACCACCCCAATCCATGCAAGTTGGGTCGGATTGGGTTGCTCGAATTCAAAGTTTAAAGTATTTAGGTCTTTTATTCTTTAAACAAGAACAAAAACGACATTTTCATTTATGGATCGCTGGGTTTTCTTATTAAGTAATTACCCCATTGTGTATCCATGGTTTTATTGTTTTTCTGATTCGAATATTTTAATAAATTCTAATGAAGTTTTTAGAGGTATTTGCTTTTTTAGAACGTGCATATTAGATTGATCGAATAGGGTTGGTCGAGGTTTTGTGCACCTCGAAATTGCCCAAGGGTTATCGATGGATATGCCATGAAATAATTCATATGGAAATTTGTATATTTTGTTGTCAAATTTATTTTGAGAACCTACACAAACATACCTTGATGTTAAATCAGTACACGAAAAGGAGTAACGATTACCAACAATAAATGATACTTTTATCCATGAATCGAGGTATTGTTTTCGATCTAAGATCCAATTCTTATAAGGGTATCCTCCATGCTCGTTATTTGCCAACATTTGTTTAGGTGTCAATTTGGGAGTAATGTTTGTTCATGTGAAGATATGTTGAAGATTCAATACGACCAAACAAACCGTCACCAATAGAAACTAGGAGTGGTTTGCTTTGATCTTGTGAAATGATACATATTTTGATGGTATATACATATCAATGAATATAAAATCTTCGATCCTCAAATTTTATGGTACTTTTTAAATGTTGTTTATCAGACACTTATTGGTAAGCGTTTATCGGGTAAGACTTTAGTTCATCAAAACGACATCGTCTACAACAATTTACGCAGTAAAACCTTAATATGACAAGAGTCGTCGCTCTCACTTATTTGATAAGACAATTGGTACTTGTCTCGCTTTTACCAGATAAAGTTCTTACCATATTCATCCGGTAAGGCAACGTAATTTTTCTTCTTACAATTTTGATTTTTGAAATTCAGTATTGAAATGTAACTTAAATATTACATCTACTTGAATTTATATATTTGGAAATTTTGTAATACAGCTTACAAAAACTCGAAAAATCATTCGCATGCATATAACTTGTTCTGGTCCAATAAACGGTCTTGGGCCAAACCGGGCCTTGAATTTCTAGAAATCTTGTAAGACCATCTACATAGACCAGTAATCAAGGTTTGCCTTCGCATAAACAACACTACATATCCGATAAAAAAAACGTAGACCGTTTTATCGGTTGATTGAAAAATGAGCCGATAATCATAATGCATCTCCTACGACCTTCAAAAATACATCAACTTTTTTATGGCCAAAATCCGATGCCCCTAAAAAAGACCGTTTGTTTTTATTTAATATGTTTAATGATCTACACAACTTATTAATTAAGTTTTATTTGGATTTTTGTTTATAGAGTTATTTAGGGTTTGTTGTATCCATTCAACCGTGACATTTCCCAACCTTACCCTTCTCTCAAGAACGACCTCTTTGTTATTCTTCATCTAGAAAAAACCGTTATTATTCCTTATTCGTCGCTCTACCTACTTATGTATCGGATAATGAGATTTTAATTAAATTCATGACCTTCTGCCCCTATATAAGAAAAAATGACTTTATATTCATGAGAAAGTCATGAATTTAATTAAAATATCATTTAAGATTATATCTATACTATATTATAAAACATTTAACAAAAACTCTTAAACATCATTTTTTTATACATAAAGTACTATCTATTGATGCATATTACTTAAAATTTAAGATTACAAGTAAATAATGCATAATTACAATTTATTAAAGCTCAATGTTTGAATTCGTATAGCTAACTGCATATAAACATAATTATATATTGGATTAACATTTCATTTTAAATATAAAAAATGTAAAATATAATTAGGATAATCATTAGGGATATTATAACATAATATTTAATTATTATCTTTATAAAAAAATATCATTAAATTAAAAGTAAATTACCTAGTTATTAAAACTAAATTAAATTATAATAAAAAAAYTGAATYAAAWAAATTACACAAAAAACRWRAACTTTTAAATAGTTAATTATATACAAATATAGATATATATATTTAAAATTTCAAGATATCTTCAAATTTATATTTTATTCAAAATAAGAACATTATCTTTCTTTTTTTATAAAACCACAAAAAACCGTATTATAACATTGACAGAGAACAAAATAAAACGAAACATTAAAATCGAGATGTATCTCGCTACATTGCGCGAGTACCCTTCTAGTACCTAAAAATCTTCATTATGGAATCATTTAAATATATAACATTAAGTGATATTTTGATTAAATTCATGACCCCTTTACCTATTAAAAATAAAATGAATTCATACTCACCAGAATGTCATAACTTTAATTAAATATAATTTAAAGTTATATACATAGATATCTCAAAATTTCAAATTATTTAAGATAGTAACTTTCTTACATATTCTTTTAAATACACGACATTCTGACATATTTTTAGTCATTATTTTGTTATAACATGACATTATTCAGTTAGACAGATGCATATAAAACTTGTTAGAAACTGATGCATTTTTAAAAGAAATTTATTGAATGTTATTTCCCTAAGTAACCCTCGATTTTTAGTCTGTATCCTTTCAAGATTGGGGCTTGTAATTTCTTAAATGATTACAGTTCATATTTTCTTATTTCCCTAACAATTATAAACGAGGAATTGTCCTTCAATTTTGGCAAGTGCATCTAGGGTCGATAAATAGGTAAGGGTAAGCTCGTTACTCATTACGTTTTAGTCTCTTGGATAAGAGTACGGGTAAGAGATTTGTATTAGTCTATCCATGTATTCATTATCCGTTTACATGACATTTTAGTGAGTAAGGATGGATAAATGATTTTTCAATGCCCATTCACCCATTAATATTATTAAAGTAAATCACCTTTTTGTCTTTGTGGCTTGTTAAAAATAGTGGATTTCATCCTTGTAGTTTTAAAATATTATTTTTCATCCTTATGATTTGTAATTTATTTCTATTTTCGTCTCTGAGGCCAAAACACTACTTTTAAATATGAAGGAATGAATAGTAAACCATAAGAATGAAAATAATAATAAATTTTAAATCATTAAAACATAAAAAAATTAATGATCTATAAATCATAAAGACGAAAATATAAAGTTTCAACAAACTATAATCACTAAAAAGATAATTTACTCTTATTATATATACACACATAATTATATAAAATGAAATATTAATATTTTTTCTAGAGTAAGATTTTGAAATTTCGCTTTTTGTCCCTCTATTTTGTATTTGTTATTGTTTTTATGATTTTATCCCCCTGAGTTATAATTTATTATTGTTTTCGACCCTAAGATTGAAATTATTAAATACCCTCAATTTAACTTAAGGGTATTTTAGTTTTTTTTCCTTTGGTTTATTAAATATATTTTCTGGTTTCCTTTTTGATATTTTAATCTTTTCATTTTTTTTACAAAAGAATCAATACATAAAGAATTATATTATTTTGTTATTGTTTATGATTAAATAATTAAAGTTATTCTTCATACAGTTTGTTATTTCATATTTTATTTGTCATTATAGTTTTAGTTTCTTTTTACTTCGATTTTTGTTACTAACGTCATTCAAGTGTAAGTCGTTGAACACCCCGCACATGATCGATAGTAATAAAAAATGGTGTATGCAGTTTTATAAATATAATGTATAGTTTTATAAACTTATTGTAACACATTTATATGATGCATACATTTGTTTGGTATAATTTATTGACTTACGAAACCAAATAATTGTATGTCATGTTAATAAAATTACATACATTTGTTTGACAAAAATAGCTTATAAATAGTGAATAGTTTAGTCATATACAAAATATAATCGTTTGGTCTCTAGTGTGTGTGTATATGATATGTGTTGAGAATTCAACACATAATGCATCCGTTTTACGTCGTTTTACTTAAAATTAGTTTCTTTTCATTTCCACTTTGAGCCATTTTGATTTATTTCTTTATACTTTTGTTATGGATCTAAAATATTGTGGTTTAACTTGTTGGGGCATAAAAATACAAGCTAACGGATAATTTTTGTTAAAACAGCCTGATGCTACAGCATTGCAGCAGCAACTACTTGTTACGTGCACGGTTTTGCGAGGGCTTAACGATTAAGCTGCTGACTTTTGGATGCTGAATGGACGACAGCTAGATACCAGCTGGAAGATTTTTATAATCAGAGATTTTTGAATTAATATGTCATCTTGTACTTTAGATTCCCTTTTATTAACTTTTAGACATTACTTAGTGATTAATACATTTGTTGTTTAGTGCAAGTTTTTGGGTATAAATAGGGGGCTTAGCCATATGTTTTAGACACACCTTATAACATATATGCAAGATCAAAATTAGCTAGTTAAGGCTGATTTTGAAATAATCTTTTGGAGAAATTTCAAGTTATTGAGTTTTTAAGTTTTCTTCTTTAATTTCTCGTATTTTATTTTCCGCTCTTTATTTTACATTCCTTTACGATTATTGTCATTTACATTCCGTCATTTACTTTCCGCAATTTATTTTCTTGTCATTTATTTTTCCGTCATTTACATTCTTGTCATTTACTTTCTCGTCATTTATTTTCTTGTTATTTACTTTACGCAATTTACGTTTATGTCTTTACTTTCCGTCATTTATTTTTTACTTTCCGTTATGAGTAGCTAAGCTTTTATAGCTTGGGTGTAAGACGGAATGTGAGATTTTCAAACAAAACAAAAGTAGCTAAGTGTTTTCGTAAACAACGTTCCATTGTTTCATTCGAGTTTTTATAAAAACCAAGCACACTTCTTGACGGGTTGATCACTTCGAAAGTGTTAAAGTGCAATGGACTTTGAGATAAGTCATTAATAAACACGTCAACTTGAATGACATAAGAGGTAGACTTGAGAAAGTTGACAACAAGGAGACTTGTCATTTATGTTTTTCAAAACTTAACTCCCGACGGGTTGGTCACTATTCGWAAGTGTCAAAGTGTGATATATTCAGAGATGAACTATCAAGAACACGCCAACTCGAATAATATGGGAATCGACTCGAGAGAGTGATTTTTAACAAAGAGATTTGTTTATCCATATATTTTGAAAACACTATCGTGTCACTATCCCCGGTCCGGACACCGCATAGATATATGGGTGGAAAACTATAAGATAATGCAATGGTGAAGTCCGAGACGAATGCCTTCAAAATAGATGGTATAACTTAGTTTCGAAACACTGCTTGATGTAGCATTTCTATAGCATTGGTTGCTGGAATTTGTGTTTGGGTAACATAATCAAATACAATATAAGCATCTTATTTTAAATATAGAAAAT